GCGCCACCAGGGAGGGCCGGAACTTTGACATTTTGAGTAAAAGGCTTGATTTAATTTAACCCCTACCCACCAGGGAGACCTCACCCCCACAGAGCATATTAAGATATATTCTTATACCTGTTTATACTTATCACATAATACTTACGAATATGTAAAGTTAACATTCTAAATTTAATTGTTTCTTATAATATCTTTCAGCAGTACATTATATAGTGTCCGTTTAACAGGTCTAGATTGGGTGTTTCAAACACATTTTTTTAAAGGATCAGATTATCTCTATGACTGTAGGCTTTGTGGTCTCTGGCCTTTGTTTCACAATAGACTAAGGCCAGCTTTGGCCTGCTGCTTATAATTTGATAGCTGTGATCGAGACAGTCCACTTTTTCCTACTTGGTATTTGTTTATTCCTTACCTCTATCAGTATAAAAGCTTTTATCATTTTAATTTGTTGTATAGTAAACTTCCACTGAGAAGCCTATTCTACATAACAGGTGTTTCTGATATGACACAATTGGAAGTACACAGCACCTCTTTTGAGATATTTCCTAGAGAGGTCATGTATAAACAATTTTGTTTTAGAGATAATGTACAGAAATATTTATATACAAATGAGTTTTCTATTAAACAAGCCCCAGTAAGGGCACATGGAGTAGGTAGGTGATAGAGCATAAGGAGGGTAAAGATCGGAGATGGCAAACTTTTCTGGTAAATAGCCAGAGGGAAAAAAAAAAAAAAACAATAGCCAGAGAAGTAAATATTTGTCTGTTGTTTTGCACTAAAATACCATAAACAATATGTAAATATATGAGTTAATGAAACTTATAAAAACAGCTGGTAGCCAAATTTGATGTTTGGGCCTGACCCCTGACTTGAGTAAATAAGATTGGCCTTGTATGTGAATATTTTATTAAAGCCTGTAATCATAAAAGTAGGGCTTCTGCTGTTGTTACTGCTGTTGTATATGTTTGAAATATTCATAATAAAAAGTTAGGACAAGTTTATTTTCAAAGCAGGTTAATACAAAGAAAAGATTCATTATTTAAATTTACTAAAAAATTATTTCACCTCTTCTGAAATTATTTCTTGTACTAGCTTCACTACAGTCTTCAGTGCAACAATATGAAGAAAAAAACACCAAAATCAAACAGTTACTTGTGAAAACCAAAAAAGATCTGGCAGATGCAAAGCAAGCAGTATGTTCATTTCTCAGTTTTATATTTCAATACTTATTCAGTGTTTTATTAATAACTTCTTTTCTTAATTTAACCAAGATTCTTATTCTGTAGGAAACTGATCACTTGATACTTCAAGCATCTTTAAAGGGAGAACTAGAGGCAAGCCAGCAGCAAATAGAAGTCTATAAGGTAAAATGTTATTTCACTTTGCAAGATTTAAAAGAATTTTTCCTTATAGAAGTAAGGAACCAGTTAGGGATTTTTCTAAATACCCTTGTATACTTTTGTGTGTGTGTGTATGTGTATATATGTTCCCCTCAAAATATTCTTTCTCATCATTTTGAGGAAGAAGCAACAATAAGCAAAATACAACTGGGCTTGAACCATTTAGCTCAAGTTAGGTTCTTTTAATAAGAAAATCTGTAATACTAAGAAAAATGCTTCATAAAATAAAACATGACCCCAAACTTGCGTCTGAATTTTCAGAATGTTAATGCAGCCGCAATGATCAGTTTATAAAATGATTTTAGATATTTATTGTTTTTTTATATATTTACATGCATATGTTTAGCATCTGACATTTATATGTAACATAGTATTAATGCAATAATACCATAAATTTGGAATTTTCTTATGACTGATTTGTTTGATTGGTTATAATTACAACTTAAAACTTACTGAGAAAATATTTTACTTTTGTTGTAGCTACTCTTTTTAATAATAATAGATAAAATTTACTATTTTTATATATTCACGTGTTGGTCCCTAGGTTTATATTTTAAGGAAAATCTGTTTAACCAGAGAAGATAAGATTTACTAGAGCTTAACTGAAAGCTTCTACCCCTAGATTCAGCTGGCTGAAATAACATCTGAAAAACACAAAGTTCATGAGCACCTCAAGACCTCTGTGGACCAGCACCAGCGCACACTGGGCATGTACCAGCAGAAAGTGGCAGCTCTTCAGGAAGAGTGCCGTGTGGCCAAGGTGAGGCACCCTGTCCCAGATGCTATTATCCAGTAGTGAGCAGCTTTACCATGGGCTGTAGTTTGTTTTTAGTGCTTCCTATTATTTAACTGCACTTATTGGATGATCCTTGGTTCTGCCCATGTGATCCTACCTGAAGCCCATCCCCACCCTGTCATTTTGATAACCTTTTTTGTTGCCAAATGGAAAGACATGGATACATGTTGTCTTTATTTCAACCTTATTTAGCATTTTCTATGTAAAAAAATTAATTTTTTTTTAATTTCTCTTAGAAAAGTGTTAGTTATTTGTGAAGGCTAAATGAATATAGTAATAGAATGTCTGTGGGACCTACTTTGTTCAACACAGAAAACAAGCATTCCAGTGGTTGTGTCAAATCTTTCTAAGTTCCAAAGACATATAATACCGTTATAAAATAAATGATTGGTAAAGTAATCTACCAAGGAAGAAGACATAGTAGAAACATACCTTTCATCAGACAAAATTACATCATTCAATGATCGTTAAAAAGTGTAAGACCGGGCCCTCCCTGGTGGCGCGGCGGGTTGAAGCACAGCACTGAGAATCTGAGGCCACTTCCGCATGGGTTCGATTCCCGCCTGCCCCGGAGGAGACCACATGGCGAGCCAGACCTCTCCTGACCCTCCCGCTGCTCCCCTCAGCAGTGTACTTCATTGATCTACCTGTTCTGCTGCCCACTCTGTCTCTGGTGAATCTGCTCACCCTTCACATCTCTGGCCTGTACCCCAGTTCTGTATGAATAAATAAATAAATCTTTA